GAACGGCGGCTGCGTTATGGTCAGGGTGGTCAGCGCCAAGGGCTGTTGTATTGGCGAGCCGAGCTGATAGGCCGGTGTGCCTGCTGGGTGGAGTCCGGCTGGGGTAGCGGCAGTGCAGCCCGGTGGCATTTGGTGCGTGACGACAGGACTGCTGATGCCACCGGGCAAGGTGGACTGTGCGGGAAAGGAGATGCAGGCGCTGGGCTGCGTGATGGTCATGTGCGGGACTGCCTGAACTGCGGCGGGCTGCACCTGCTGTACCTGCTGCAGAGGGTGGTGATGGTGGTGATGGTGATGGTGGCCATTCTGTACGGCGCAAGGTAGGACAGAGAGAATCGCGGTTGTTGCATTGTGTTGGGGCATAGCGCACACAATGCACACACACACAGACAAGAAGACAGCAGCTTGGGTCTTGGGTAAAAGGAAGAGGAAACAATGCCTGCTGCAGTGGGCAGATGTTTGTGTGTCTTTAGGGCCAGGGTGGACAACAACACTGAATTCATTAAAATCTGACCTTGAATCAGTTCAGCACAACTTATAAGTACAGATGGGCACGCCCGCCGCTTAGAAACCTCAGCTAGGATTCTACTCCTCCTGTCTGTCTCTCCCTGTGTCTCTGGCCTCTGTGGCTAGCAGGACAGGACTGTGGTACTACTTGTGCATTATTCAGTAGGAACATGACATGACCTTTGCTGCGGCTGCTGCCACTGGCTGACACATACATGCACACGTACAAGCCTGTAACTTGTGTAAGCGGGTCTACATACCATGCACACAGCTAGTGCCAGTGCCAGTGCTATGGACCTGGTCTACATACAGCCAGTGCCAGTGCTATGGACCTGGTTGTACAATGTCAATGTCATGTATGTGCATCACGTGTTTGTTCAGACACACTCAGTGCATACAGTCTAGTCATAGTCAAGCTGCATGTAGCTTTACTGAAACCTGCCCAGACTGTGGAGACTGTGGTCCTGTGGAGTGTGGTTCAGGGAGTGGATATGCAGTACTCCATCCAGGCAGTAGATGTACCGATGAATCATGTATATAATAAATTATACGTCATCATCATCTGCTACATTTATACTGTCTGTTTTACTCGGTCAGTGTTGTAAGGGGACCGTCACCGTGACTCACTGCCCTGTACTGAAGCATGCACATAGACAACCAGTGTAGTATTTGTACTAACAGGAGTAACAGGAGTATTGACAGCCTTGATTGTGATTAGCAAGAATACAGTCAGAGTCCCCATTTACGTTACCTACACCTGAAATACAGAACAAACTACATGTTGGCGGTGCTACCTCATCTAGATCGTCATGTTTCTGTATGAAAACGCCACACACAGCATTGCTACAATGTTCACTAGACTAGAGTGCAGTCGGCGGACTGTTCAGTCGTCTATCAGTTGACTTGCACACACCGCGGCCAGCTCATGTAAGTATCTTGCTACGCGGAATATCGCAGTGCTGAATTTGGTTACATGGCAGCAAGTGCACAAACATGCGACTGCTTCACGACTCTCACTGATCGGAAACAGAATCAGCAACTACATGTACCGATACAGAAGTCAACATTAGACGTAGCGTCACCAGCGTGTGGTCTCTAGTAGCCTTGTGGTCATATTTGCACAAGACCTGAATCCTTCACGCTAGAGACGTCCCACAATCCATCCCAAAAACATGCACTTGCAACCACATGCAGTTCAGCACAAACATCAGTATCCAGACCCTGATCTAACCTTGAGCGAATACAAAGGTGGCTCAGGAACGGCTACCAACTCCACGAGCTTCTCTTCGCGTGGCATCATGCGATCCACAACGATGGCAGCCGCTGGAAAGGTTTGCAGCGGTGGACTGTTGGTCGGTGTACAGGGCGAGGACAGCACCCAAGGACTGTCCGCTGCGGCACGGAAAGGATATGGAGAGGGTGTCTGTGCCATACCGAACAGCAGGACACCCCGGTGATCCGCAGGACCAGTGCTGCGCGTCCTTTTAAACTGCTTCGTCCGACTGCGTGCGATCACAGGAGGAGAAGGTGTGTCGGGAAGGTCCGGACGCGCTTCACAGTATGTGGTCATGACGGAGTGTCTACAAATACATGCAACTGCTCTTCAGTATGAGGAGGAAAATAGAAGGAGTAAATCTTCCCCCAAAGATGCTTGGCTGATCTTGTCGTCGCTTCTGCCCAGTCCGCACTGACCCTTTCCTTTACTAACGCCCAGGGTTTTGATAAGGCTCCTTACGCGACTGAGCACGGCTGATTGCAAGTGCTACAGTGGGCCATATGTCCTTGATACTATTGCTATTGTCCCACCCTAGCATGGCTACAGATGTGCGTACCGTGGTGTGCTGTGGTGCACTGTGGAATGAGGCTTGTACAGCAGGTGCGACCAGGCAGTATGTGCGAGTACTCAGAGTCTGAGGCTGAAGCAACAGCAGCACGTAGCAACATAGGTGGTCAGATGTATTGCAGGTAAATAGTCACTATGCTACATGATAGAGAATTACTGAATTATCCGGCTAGTAAAATGGTATCACGCACATGGACGCACTGATAGGCACGCCTTGTTGTAGCGTCACCTGTACTATCTGCTCCGTCAGGCAAACCTGCCAAGTGCAAACACCATCAGCGTGACCATTTTGACGTATTGTGTTCGGGCACACACATGAAAGACTCGGAGAGGATCACTGGAGAGACACACTGAGTGCAAATACGGTGATCTTGATGCCCGGGGGTGGGGGTTAGACTGGTTCCGGTAATGTACGCCGGGCGACATTGTCCCGTCGTATACGCGTACAGTACCATTAAAACCCGCATCGATCTTTTAGTGCCTGGAGCGGATGGAATCAGGCTGGACTCGGCTGGTGGCAACCACCAGTGAAATGCCTCGACACCTGGGTCTAATTCCTCGCCATCACGCTCAACAGGTGACGGCAGTGTTACTTGAGGTGACCGTGAGGAATCAGGAGTTCACATTGCTGACTTGTGTGGTGGATGTTGCTATCAACACTGTGTTGTAACGGTGCTACTGCAGTTTAGTAGCTACATCGGACACAGTTACTCGATGTCGTCGTGGTCTGGGCTCCATAAGTGTTCCCCAGAGAGTGAGGAGTGAGTGAGTGTGTATTGCGAGGATTATGAATGCATGGCAAGTTAGGACTGTGACTTGGCAGACCAAGAAGACTTGCTGTCTTATGCTCGGTAAAGTTAGACTCATCTCAGCGGTACGCGGTGTAAGTGAACCGTAGTTTCTCACCCACGGCATTCTGTTTAGTCGTCCAGAGGACGCCCAGGACAGCTTGGCGTGTGACCTTATGGCGAGGACTGGAACTGCGCCATCTTCGGCGACACCGCCGCACACTGCATTGCTTCCAGGGCATTCCAGGCTAGGTTTCCTCCGGGTAGCACACGCGATCTGGCTTGCAGACCACCGCGTCATCGGGATTAGATCCAGTTCAGGGTCTGGTCTCACTCGCCAATGTCGATACGAGTTCAGTGATGCCCCCTGAGAAGAGGCGCTGTGGGATGACTTCATATCGTCCTCCCACAACGTCATCACATTTGGTAATCTGACCTTTCTGGTCATGAGAAGCCCACCCACTTACTCTCAATCCCAATATCAATAATTGCTTCTGCTCTCCTGTGATGACAACGAACTACGACGAAGACGAAGAAGAGTTCCAAGAGCTTCTCATCTCTTCCTCTCCAATCCTGTCATTTTGAGGCGTTGAGTTGTTTGGATTGATCTCTCACCAGCTACCCCCTTTTAAGTTGATGTGGTTTCGAGCAACTCGATGGATAACAGTGCGTTTGGCAGACGCTGTAAACTTCCCCGTATCTATACTTACATTATGTAGACGAGTGTTGACGTAAATGAACCTTTTTTTGTTTTCAAGGATGTTGTAAGCCATGCCAGTACCCTGGACGCACTTAAATCTGCTCACTAGATTCACCATCACCTGTCCCTCCCATGCTTCTCCGTCTTGACCATTACTTTTCTTCTTTTCTTCTTTTATTCACCATGGTTGGTTAACACCTACATCTCCCGTACTGGCTGATTTTCTTCTCATGCCATGAGGTGTTGTCTATAATAATAATAACTCCTTGATACATGTATCGGCTATCACGGTCCGAGAAAAAATCACTGAAAATGTCATCCTCTACTCCTTCGCCAGAAAAAGGGCATCGACGATGATATGGCGATGCGTTGATTATACCTCCTTTCTGTGATCCCCTCCAGGGTTAGCTACCTTGCGCGATGATGTCAAGGTATTACTGCGCTTGACACTGGGAAAGCCTGACATTATGTACACAATTATGATCCACGCTACCCATGTCGACACAAACAATACTCAGGCCTTGCAGTTTGATGCAAGTTCCGCCCATGCATGTTTTGGTTGACATAAGCAATGCAGGTCATGCGGGTGGGGGGGGGATACAGTGAATGACTGTAAACTGTGCTTATGAGCAGCTTCCATGCACTGGTTTTGAACGTGTGGCTGTTTACTGGCGCTACTCCTAAGCGCCCAGACACCATGGGGTGAACGCTGTCCCTGCACACTGTAAACTAGGTGTCTGCCAGTCCGAACTCGAATGGGTGAGTGCGTAATTATTGAAAGGTGTGGTACCCAATCAGAGTGCGTGTGTATGAGAGTGCGTGCGCGTGTTGATGTTTTCAGACATTTGTTGCGTCTACGTTCCTCTCCAAGTAAATCTAATCGTGTCAGTTCTGTGCACTACTGGATATACCCTCCGAGTCTGGGAACCGATCATATTGATAGGTGAGGTCAGCTTCAGGGATTGTGTGCTCCATGTGTGCATGTCTGATGTGGCGAGTTGTTGTCGAGCCAGTCATCTTCTAGTCGATTGCGGAGGTCTGTTTAGTCTACAAATCACACGGCCGGTAGGGTTGCAAGAGCATCATGGTGTACACATCAGACACAACGCACCCACAATCTTGTCCGGGCAATCTTGGTTGTAACGAACACCCGGACTGCTTCCCACCTAAATGGCGACATGCACGCATTCCACGCTGCACATTATCTTCCCGCTCGAGAGCAGCACCCTTCTATTTCTAGACAAGTATTTTCAGCAGGCGCCATTTCGGCACCCTGGCGTGCGCGGAAGAATGGATCACCGTAACCACCTCGGTGACTAACTCAAAGAACCACACATATGTTCACGGGCAGCGTGCTGTTGGGGAAAAGGAAGATACTCTTACCTGAATGATTGGGTTAAACTGTCCTGCAGTGGAAGCAGTCGGCACAGTTTGGACGTTGCAGTTCAAAGCATGCTGCTGATTGAATCCTCCCGGCGACGAATGGCTGCCATTGTTGGTTAGGCCAACCGATGGGTACATTGTCCCATTCTTGTTCTTGCCGGCTGGCCAATGGTCACACTACTGATGCAACTGTTGCTTCACGCTACATTACTACGCCAGAACGGCAACGGGGGTAACGGACCTTCTCCTCTAGTACAATGGCTGGTGTACCTGCACCGGCGGTAGTGCCGTCGCCGTCATCCCTCCGCTGTTTGCATCATTGTGCTGAACAAATCCGCTACGGGTGGTGTTCACCGTCTGTATTGATGGAGGCCAGTTGTTTTGTACTAGAGGAGAAGGTCCGTTACCCCCGTTGCCGTTCTGCGTAGTAATGTAGCGTGAAGCAACAGTTGCATCAGTAGTGTGACCATTGGCCAGCGGTGCCTGGGTGCGGAATCCGTTTAGCACAGGACTTGTCATGTTTTCGCTGGAGGACCCCATCGTAACACTCCGCTCGTTGCGTGTTATCTCATGACGGCCGCCACCAACAACGCCGACAGTACCGCCGCCAGGAGACGAATAGGAAGTCGCATTACTGTCGCCCGTTTCTGGTGTGAGAATGGCCCCTGTTGGCGCGTGTGTTGTGTGATGTTGGGCAGGAGGAGGAGGCGGCGGTGCTGCTGTCGGGACTCCCAACATACGACCGTCCTGTTGTGGTGGGCCATTTTGATGAGCTTTGTTAAAATTAACTTCCACTCTATCACTTTCTCCCAAAGGTCGCGTAGATGTTCCTGACGGTAATGCTGCTGCTCTTGCTGGGAATGTCGTCTCCACAGGCACAACCGGTGCGGGACAGAAAGCCCTTGTTGTCACGGGATATGGCTGAAACTGATAGGTGGCAGCGCCTGTTTGAATCGGACCAGTACAAGGCAGGGGTGCTGGCGGCGAGCTTACAGCCAGGTTTGGGGGAGGGATTAGACGATAATGATGCGGAAATGCAGTCATTGCTGCTGCTGCTGCTGCTGCTGGCGCTGCTGCTGTAGCGGAACGACCACCATTGCAATCACCATTCGCGTAACCACTGTGGTTGTTGTCTGCAAATCCGTTGGCGCCAGAGAAGTTCATCTTTGTGGCTGTTGCCGCAGCGGCTATAGGCAGCAAGGGGATGTGAGTAGTCTGGGATAGTGTCAAGGTACCTATGATCAACGGAGGAGGTCTTACAGATGATGATACGTTGTGAGGGCTGTCGCTAGACGTCTTGCAGACTTCTCCTCTCACCATGGTCTGATAGGATTGTACGAGTACTGCTGCTACGGCTACTGCTACGGCTGCATTCGATGACCGATAGGCTGCCACCAACATGCGATACACCAGCATGCACGGTACAATACGATGCACCATGCAAGCCAAAACCACACTGTACCACTATACCACTATACCGCAATAGCACGATCACTGCAGCGTTCCGGCATCAACACAACTCCAACGACGTGATTGTATATGCGATACACTGCAGAGCATTTCACACTGTAGCTTAAGTCGTCGTGCTGATGCTGCTTTACTATTCCTGTTACTACAGTACTAGGGGTATCTCACACACCCATACACTATCACATACACATACACACACTATCACACACACACACACACACACACACACACACTATCACACACACACGATCAAGCTTTACCTCTGCATGTACACCAGCAGGCAGGCACTGGTGTGTAACTCTCTGAAAGTGTATGTGCACAGTTCGGAACACTACTAGTTCTAGTCCAGGTGCAGTCTGTCGTCCTCTCTAGGGAAGGCCACAACCGGTGTAGCCAGCAGCCAGTGCTAGTATAGAATATCCTCTCAAGTCAAGAGGAGTTCTCTCGATCCTGCTTGGTCCTTGCAAGTGACTTGGCTTCAGTACGAGGCAGAACACCTGTGAGATGCACCTGTTCCAGGCGATCAATATACGGACGACACTCGGCTACTCGACATGCATGCTGATCGTCACGATTTCAGAGGAATTATTGCACGCCGCAGAATGCTTTGGAGTCGTTTTATGTGTCATAGGACATCGACCTGGCAACTGGCCATCGTCGTTTCAGAACAATTGCATCGTTCATCGTCCTCGGCCTAGTAGTGACGGGCTGTGCTGCACGACCTGGGTGCTTCGCCAATCTGGCATACCGTTATCCGCATTGTAACTCAAGCTTCGCATCCCATCACATAAACGTCTACGCATAGTTTA